GACTTTTAGGTTATATGTGGCCTCCACTATCATATATAGTTTTGTCTTTCACTCTTTATAATAACTACACTACACTTTGTGTGTGTTTTTTTTGGGAGCCAATTAGCTGCAGTGATTGATTGATCATTGCTATAGAAGACCTGTGCAAATTAATAGAAAAAACCATTAACTTTTGTTTTAATAGAAAATCATTGCTCTTGATTTCCATGTGTTTGTACATTCTGATGGCAAGTGCTTTGACAGTATTGTTAACTGAAATTCTAGCTGAGCCAATTTCAAATAACATCAATAATGGTGGTATGTATCCTCATATAAAAAAAAAAATATATATATATATATATATATATATATATATATAATAATAATAATAATAATAATTATTACCTCAATACACTAGAAGGGATTCTTAATTTTCGTGGGATTGAATGTGAAAATGCAAAAATTTATGAGGAAAAGGGGTATGGTTGCTGCTGTTGTGAGATTGGGGTGGACTTAGGGAGAGGAAAAAAAAAAAGAGTACCTGCCATAGATTATGGACTCGATCACCATGAAAGATACATGTAGAAAGGCACACATTTATAAAAATACTAAGAGAACTGTTGAGGGTAAAATTCACGCGGTCGGATACGACACCGTTTACCTGCAAGGGAAAGAGGAGAAGATCGATGAACCTTGACAGCACGAGTGTGGTGCCTGCCAAGAGCTCTCCGACGATCAAGTTAGTCACTGAAGGTCTAAAAAGAAGGCAGGGATTTAATAATCGTTTTTTCGTCGTACCTTATTCCCGAGTCGTTGTCATATTTATCGTCGCTTCCCTTATTCTCGATAAGAGAATTTCATCATCCTTATTCCATGGAACTTATCCCATGAAAATCTTATCCTTGATAAGATTTGTCATCATCGTCATGGAAATCTTATCTTGCATAAGATTTGTCATCATTCTTATCCATGGAAATCGTTACCCCTAATAACAAAATATTATCGTTGATCACCGAAAAGATCTGGCGGCTGGTCAACACTTAATTGCCTATATTGTTAGGTCAAGATAGGTTTATTTTTCCCTATCAGTTGCCCCCCATTTCTTGCTCGTCTAGCTTTGGGAATGTAAGATTTTTTTTTTTTTTTTTGGCCCTCGGGAACAGTGCCCGCGGGTACTGTTCATTGAACAGTAGGGATATATATATATATATTTTTTGCCCGCGGATACTGTTCATTGAACAATAAATTTTTTATTTTTTCCCTGCCCTGGGAACAGTACCCGCGGGTACTGTTCATATGAACAGTAGCAGATTATTATTATTAATTTTTTTATTTTTTTTTTTGCCCCTGGCTCGGGAATAGCGCCCGCCGGTACTGTTCATTTAATAGTAGGGATGTATTTTTTTTTTGCCCGCGGATATTGTTCATTGAACAGTAGAAATTTTATTTTATTTTATTTTTTCCCTGCCCTGGGAACAATACCCGCGGGTACTGTTCGTATGAACAGTAGCAGTTTTTTTTTTTTTTTTTGGTTACTCTTCCTTTGGGTTCTATTTTTGGTACCCTTGAGTACTCTGCCCTGGGTACTATTCTTAGTACCCTTGAGTAATCTTCCCTTGGGTACTATTCTTAGTACCCTTGAGTAATCTTCCCTTGGCTACTATTCTTAGTACCCTTGAGTAATCTTCCCTTGGGTACTATTCTTAGTACCCTTGAGTAATCTTCCCTTGGCTACTATTCTTAGTACCCTCGAGTAATTTTCCCCTTGGGTGCTCTGCCCATGGGTACTATTTTTAGTACCCTTGGGTACCCTGCCCCTGGGTACTAGTTTGGGTACCCTTGAGTAATCTTCCCTTGGTAAGGAAATAAATTGTACAAGCTTTACTCAGGTTGTCACTCTTTAATGAGGGAATTGAATTTTACGAGTTTTACTCAGCTTACCCCTTTAGTAAGGGATTTTTATTTACTATCCCTTATTGTAAGGGGATATTAATTACAGGATTCATTCAGTCCGGGTCCTTGTAGTACAGGACACTCATTTATTATCCCTTATATTACGGGGATTTGGATTACGGAATTCATTCAGCTCGGGCCCGGGTCCTTGTAGTATAGGACACTCATTTATTATCTCTTATATTACGGAGATATAAATTACGGGATTCACTCAGCCCGGGTCCTTATAATACATGACACTTATTTATAATCCCTTATATTACGTGGATATGGATTACGGGATTCACTTAGCCCGGGTCCTTATAATACATGACACTTATTTACTATATCCTGTTATACGGGGATATTGTACGTATAAAGATAATTGACCAAGAGTCAAGGCAACTGAAAGTAATTTTATTAAAGACCATCATTGCCTCAAGGCTTATTGAAAACAAAATAGCAAGTGAAGGAGCTACCCTCCAAAAATGATTAACTGAGATGTCCCCAGTCTTTATTGTGAATGACTTGATAAGGCTAATTCCAGCTGTGAGACAATTTTTAGTCGGTATACTCAACTGAGTCCTTCTTATGATATGTGCTATCGCTGTGGATGAAGAACGATTTCTTATATTTGGTATCATTTTCATTCCTGGCGAGAGGGGTTGGCCTCTTCTTGTCCTCTCCTTCCTTCCGTGCACTCATGGTGTCTTCAGCGTTGATGTGTTTTTGCGCTCTGATCAGCAACTCTACCATGCTGGTAGGAGGTTCTTTTGATAAGGAGAACAAGAATCTGGAGGTTTGGAGTCCTCCAATGAAAGCGGTCAAAGCTACCTTGTCATCCACCTTTTCTACCTGTAACATCTTTGCGTTGAATCGAGTGATGTATTCCCGGATCGACTTTTCCTTTTGTTGCGCCACGGTAAACAGGTAGGTAGCCGGCCTTCTATGTCTCTGACCTGTAATGAAGTAGCTCACAAACTGCTTACTCAGCTCTTCGAAGGTGTTGATGGTTCCTAGCTTCAGCTTGTTGAACCAAACTCTTGCTAATCCCTTAAGTGTAGTGGGAAAAGCTCGGCACATGATTTCATCTGGCACAGCGTGTAAATGCATAAAAGCTTGAAAGGTTTCTAGGTGATCGAGGGGATTTTTGGTCCCATCGAAGCTTTCGAACGAGAGCATCCTGAACTTGCTAGGCAGTGGGCATTTCATAACGGCGGGGCTGAACGGCAAGTTGGTCCTTTGTACCAGGTCATCTATGGCTGCAGGACCTTTCCCTTTCATAGCCTGCATTACATCTTCCATTTTCCCTTTGAGATCCTCGATCTGCAAGTCGAAATAGGTAACTTTCTTTGCCTTTTCCTTAAGACAGAAGGCTGTGCCTTCATGAGGTCGGGAACTCCGTGGGAGAGATGGGTGGACCACCTCTCTATGTCGGTTTCCCACTTGGCTTTGTTCCACTTCGGTCTCATTTTGGGGAGGATGATTATCCTGCTCTTCAAGATTCCCATTACCTCCATTTGTATTTGAGAGATCTTGTTGTGGCAAGTTTTGTTGAACCGGTTGAACAAGATGTTGCAGGAGCGCGGCATTTTGCTGGATCAACTGGTTTATATCCTGACTCAGAGTTTGGACCTGCAGTTCCAACGTTGCAAGCCGTGTCTGGTCGTTTGGGACGTCTAAGTTTTCACCCGACTCTTCCCTTTGACTAGATCTCTGTGACGGTGTTCCTTCGGTAACCATACCGGACCACAAGCGTGTGTACCTAACCCAACCGAGTAATTAATTGATTCAAGGGAATCGTCGCTCCCACAGACGGCGCCAACTGTTGAGGGTGAAATTCATACGGTCCGATACGACACCGTTTACCTGTAAGGGAAAGAGGAGAAGATCGATGAACCTTGACAGCACCGGTGTGGTGCCTGCCAAGAGCTCTCCGACGATCAAGTTAGTCACCGGAGATCTAAAAAGAAGGTAGGGATTTAATAATCATTTTTTCGTTGTACCTTATTCTCGAGTCGTCGTTCTATTTATCATCGCTTCCCTTATTCTCGATAAGAGAATTTCATCATCCTTATTCCATGGAACTTATCCCATGGAAATCTTATCCTGCATAAGATTTGTCATCATCCCCATAGAAATCTTATCCTGCATAAGATTTGTCATCATTCTTATTCATGGAAATCGTTACCCCTAATAACAAAATATTATCGTTGATCGCCGAAAAGATCTGGCGGCTGGTCAACACTTGGTTGCCTATATTGTTAGGTCAAGATTAGTTTATTTTTCCCTATCAAGAACCATAATATATTCATTCAGCTTTTGATAGCCATCACACACACACAGTGGCACACAGACACAAAACCCTAGCTACTTTTCACTATTGGAACAAAGGTAAAGGCCCAAATCAAACGAACCAAAGTTAGAACAAATCAAATGATGAGATGAACGAAGGAAAGAAACATATATAAAGGATCGATTCATGCAAAGGGAGAGAGAAGAGAAGAGAGAGAGAGGATGAACATACCTTTTGTCACCTGAGGCGATAGCGGAGGCTGCACCCTGCGGAGTGTTGGAGCAGATTGTGTCGTCTGAAACTTGCCCTAACTTATTTTTATTTTATTTTATTTATTTCCCATCCCCTTTGTCGTCTGAAACTTGCCCTAACTTATTTATATTTTAAATTTTTTTCTGTCCCCTATTGGCCTCAAAATTTGAGGCCCTCTAAAATCTGAGGCCCAAGGAGACCGCTTTGGCAATTACTTGGATTATTTTAGTAATTCTAGTGTATATGAGGATAGTTTTGGACATTTGAACTTTAACTGAATATCAAGAGAAAAATCAACTAAACTCAAGGAGGTACACAAATATATTTTAAGAACTTTAATTAGAACGTAATAAAGTCATACCAACATGAATTTATGAATTATGCATTGGAGTTGTAATGAAATTAAGTTCTATGGAACGCTTTTCTAGTTCTGGAATTAGAGACACATATGCATAGAATCACCCAAAAACTTTGACAGTTTGACTGACTAATTAATATTATGAGAATTAGTGAACTCAAAACTTCACTTTTTTCGTGACAGATTAGATCTCAAAGTCTACAATTGAAATCTCTCTCAGTGGGCTTCTCTCAGCTTTGAAGACTTGGAGGTGAGGACTATAGTGTTTTTTTTTTTTTTGAACTATGGATAAACTAGACTTTGGGGGGTGTAGTTTGCTCTTTTTAACTAGTCTTGTTCATTTATTATATATTAACTACTAAAATTGGTGTTTTTGAGTTTAATTGGTAGTTCAGAGGGTATTTTGCCACAAAGTGATACTTTAGGGGGTTTTAATTTAGCCTAATTTTTATTCAACAACTTCAAAAAAATTAATTTTTACTTTTTTGTAATTACATTATCCATCCCCTTAAATCCCGACTCTATATGCATTTTATGTGATTAAAAATCTCTAATTTCCCTCTTATTCGTTTTCCCAATCATTTGTTAATAATTTAAAAAGTGTAAAGGGAAAAAAAAAAATCCTACTATTGACAAATCAGCAGAAAACCCCCGAACGACAAATCCATTAACTATTCTATTTTTTTGCGATTTACCCCTTCGGACAAGCTTCTATTCAGAATTTACCGTCACACAATATATAATTTAACGACCATAATGCCCTTATGAGCATGAAGAGACTCTAATACCCCTTAGTGTAACCATTACATCCATACACATACTGTTACACACAAACACACCCTTATGCCATCAATCAGTGTTCATCTTCTCACGCTTTCTGATTATATATATATATATATATATATATATATATATAAATATTGTTCATTTAAACTGCAGGGCTAAACATGTTGGCATTTGACCATTAATTCATGAGAAGAGGACGCTAACATATTCAGGAACAGATCCAGGGAAGTTTGTTAATTTCTCTCTCTAAAAATCTAAATCAGAGATTCAATCTCCCAATAACTATCCTAGCCCAAGTCGCCAATGGAGCTTAGCTGCCAGTTTCTTGAGAGAGTATTGCACTAATGTGATAACTAAGCAATAGAGGTTTTAGAGAAGTCTTTTTTTTTTACCTTAATATGAAATAGAGAGAGAGTTTAGAAAGGCACGAAGCAAGAGAAAAAGAGGGGTTAACAAAAAACTAAACGCAAGATACTAAACGGAGACAAAAAAAAAAATATCTTTAAAGTTAGGGTTAGAGGTCTGATATCCTTTGATATTGGAGTGCAATCGTATAAAAGTGGTGTGTGAATATTGTCTCTCTTTCTTTAATTTGATTTTCTGTCCCAATTTATTCTCTATTCTTTGCATTAATTTATTGAAATTTGGTTTGAACTGCAGAGGATGCTTAATAAATTAGAGAGCTTTACAATCAAAACATACTTTATGCTAATTTTTCTCCTCCCTCCATCTTACTTTCCATTATTGGTCTTTTACTGTGAGGAGGCTTGGAATCTTCAAAAAGTTGAATGTCAAGAAATCAATGAAAGGAAATTCAACGAAGATCTCCTTGTCTTGTTGTGTTTCCATCTTCACGTAAGTGGTGAGATGGACGAGTAAGAAGCATATGGTGGAAAACACTAATGGCCCTTACCATGAACCACCATCCTCCCATCCAGAAAAAATCCAAGCAACAACCTTCCCGGAAAATCCCTTTACCAAATCATCTCAAACCACCTACAAATCCTTCCCCTCATAATATCAGAATTTCCCATACTCCACAAGTCAGGAAAACCCCAAATAACTCATCTCTCCCTAAACAGTCTTCCTCTAACTCCATGCAAGTTTACCATCCTCCCATTCCACCACACAATGGTCAATCACACGATTCCTTTCCTCCCCCAGTACATAACCCAATTCGCATCTCCCTCCCATCTTCTAGCCAAGCTCCGGCCATCTCAAGGAACAGTAAACCACCACTACCACATGCTAAAGCTCACATCCCAGGATCTACTTCAAAAGGCAACGAATCCAATAACTTCAATACAGCGTTGTATAAATCCCCAGGCCACCAAATTGAAAGATTGACAGAGGAACTCGAGTGGGCACAAAAGAACCTTGGGAAATTACTTGAAAGGTACAAGGAGCTGAAGAAGACAATGTCAGAATTAAGAGTTTAGCTTGCAAAAAGCAAGTTATAAGTTTCCATTCCTCTACTACCACCACCGGCAACTGTCATCAACCATCCACCACCAAATGACATCCTTGTCCCTCACACCAATGACGGCCATGTTCCAGACTCAATTTCAAATTTGAATTTCAAATCCATTGATCAGGTAAGCTCAAGTCAGCTTCTACCACCTAAGAGCAGGTCCAATGGACAAAAATTTAGCGATTTTTGGCCAGGTTTGGATATTGGACTGCTCCAATAGGGTCGCCAAATATTGGGCCCCACCAAATGGATCGCGGTATTTCTATGACCCTGTTGGCGAGCTGCGGGCCCGCATCCATTTTCATTTAATTTTTTTATTCTGGCCCAAAACTGACATTTAGCCCAAAAAAACTGTTCCTAAGGGCATGTTTGCCTGGATAAAAAAAAAAAAAAAAAAAAAAGAAGGAAAAAATCAGTTTTTTGGCTGATTTTGGTCTTTTTTTTTTTCTCTTCAAAATAATTGAACCAAAGAGTCGTTAAGACACTGTTTGGCTGACACAAACAATGCCTTAAGGGCTTTTTTGGGCAAGAAAAGTTAAAAAAAAAATAGATAAAAGTGTTTTTTTTTTTAAAAATTTGCTTTTTAAAATATTCTTATTGAAATATAGCCGTTTTAGGCACTATTTAGCTGACCCAAACAGTGCCTTAACGGCTATATTGGTACAAAAACTTATTTTTTGAATTTTTTTTGAAAAAAATCATTATATATATTTATTTATTTTTAAAAAAAAAACTTTCATTTTTTCTCTATGAATATATCAACCCTAATTATTATTCACATCATATTCAACCCCTATTATTATTCACATCATATTCAACCCATCTTCTTTAGTTTTCAATCTGCAACTGCAACCACTAAGTCATTTTCTTAATCTTTTAGTTATATTTTTTACTCAAGTTCAATTTCATGGATCCTTCACCACCATATTACAACTATTACTCCCAATTCAATTAATCAAATGATAATTTTGATCCCTTCTTATTTGTTAGAAAAAAATCTCAATTTGTTGGAGATGAATCTCAATTTTTGTCTCATCAACCATCTTAAGTTTCCAACATTCCTACTGAAGTGTCACAATCTAGTAACTCCCAATCTCTCAGAAAGCAAAGGGCTATTCGGCCTCCTAATTGGTCAACGGTTGAAGATGAGGCTTTATGTTATGCGTGGATGGCCATTAGCACTGATGCGATCATCGGTTTAGACCAACAAAAGACAGTGTTATGGATCCGAATTCAAGAAAGTTTTGAGCAACACGTTAGTGGTGCCGATACACTTAAAAAAAATCATATCGCCTGCTTGAATCGTTGGTCCATCATGCAATAAATGATTATCAAATTTTCTAGATGCATGGCCTAGATCGAAAGGAATTACCCGGGCAAAACAATGAGTATAAGGTAAGTTATTTATTATATTAAATTTAATTGGTAGATATTTTAAAGATTTGTCTTCTAATAATTATTGATTTTTATTTTTTTAGATGATAGCAGCCAAACAGTTGTTTGCTCGTCAAAATAATACCAAATTGAAGTTTGACAGTTGTTGGAACATTTTGAAGAATAACAATAAGTGGCATTTACATTGTCAAAAAGAATTGACATTAAAAAAAAAAAAAAAAAAAAAAAAAAAAAAAAAAAAAAAAAAAAAACAGCCGAAGAAGAAGAGTGGAATCCACATTGATGATAGTGAGCCTATTGGTCACTCAAACCCATCTACTCCATCAAGTAATGCAGCAACGACACCAAGTTTGGTTGAACGATCGGCGCACATAGGCAAAAATGATCCGACGAATATTGAAGAATGTCAGCGACCAGAAGGACGAAAAATAGCAAAGCAAAGGCGAAATAACAATAAAAAACAATCTGAAAGTCAAAATGATTTCATTAACAAATTCGATCATACAACAGCCCTTTATCAAAGACAATTTCAAACTCTTGAGGCCGCTCAAATAGCACGAGAGGCACGCAAAGTAGATAAAGAAAAAACCAGACAACTCGAGCTTCAAAGCAAACTAAGAGAGATTAAAAAAAAAAAAAAAGAGCTGAAGAGATGTTAATCATGCAAAAAGATCCAGAATCGATGCCAACACAAGCTGGGAAAGCATGGCTAATTTGAACGCCAAAATGAAATATTAGCATCTATACGCGCACGTGGTAATTCAAGCTTTCCATAAGATTATCTCAAACATTCCATATGATTGTTTTGTTTTTCCTAGTTGTTATGTTTTTAATTCATGTCGTATTGTATTTATTTTTATTTTTATTATATTGTTTAAATTTGTTTTGTTTAAATTTATATCGTATCATATTGTTTTTAATAATAAATATTGTATTGTTTAAATTTTTTTTTATAATATAGCCGTTTTAAAAATATAGCCGTTAGGAAAAAGTTAAAAAATAAAATTTATTAAAAATTTAAAAAATATTAATATTTTTGGAGAACGAAAATACACCATTGAAGTACATCCGATAGTTAAAATTTAGAGATTCTAAAGCGCTGACGTGACTATTGAAAAATGCTGATGTGGCAAATTTGGAAAGCCCATTGGAGATACTCTAATGTTAGTCACCAGCTCCCCCAGAAAGGTAACAATAGTGCACCTACTACATGTATCCCACAACTAGCTACCAACCTAACACTCTAATTACAATTGGCAAGCAACTACCTCTCCCTCCATAGCCCACAATCTCACAAATTCACCTCCTATTTCCCCACCAGTCAATAATCATCAGCTAAATTCTTGGTCTGAGATAGTAAAGCAGGACTCCAACAGCATAAATTCGAATACTCTGTCCCAAATCCAGATTTCTCCTTCATTGATCCACCTAAGGAGGTAGTAGATGAATGTCTCCACTTTTGGGTCTCTACCCATTTGATTGGACTCTTAACTCACAAAAGAATTCCTTTTAAGGTAATTCAAAATGATGCATCTAAACTTTGGATGTCTTATGGACTCACCAATACCATCCTTGGGAAGAACAATTCATTCATATTCAGATTCAGCTCCAGCAAAGAGGCAGGCAATGTTTTCTTTAAAGGACCTTGGTCCATTGTAGGTCACCCATTTTCACTTATGAAGTGGAATTAAGACAGCATCTCCAAACCACCTCACATTGGATGCCTACCAATTTGGGCTAAACTCTACAATATCCCTTTCAAATTTTGGACTGCAAAAGGGTTAAGCCACATTATCAGTTTAATTGGTGAACCCCTTTATGCCGATCAGGCCACAGAAAGCATAACAAAGTTGAGATTTATAAGATTATGCATCAATATTACCTTACCAAACCACTAAAGTCAGAGGTACAATTAAAGGATGAGGATAACCACTTTGTTTAGATCAGAGTGGAGTATTAATGAGTCCCAAAATTCTGCAACAGATGCCACCAGCTCAACCATACCGATACATTCTGCCTTCTAAACATCATTAATCCACCATCTATTGAGGATTGTGGAAATGCTACCCTTTCTTCTCTTATAGTGAACAATGGCAGTCCAATGTTAGTGCAACAAACAACTGAGTGGATTACATCCAGAAAGAAGAAGAAGAAATTACCAGTAGTCCAATCAGGAAATCTGAAGCTCCTAGGTTCATCACCATCAACATCTACTAACAAATTTTGATAGCCTAGCACAATTGGATCCAGGCAACATTTCTTCCCCCCTCTTCCCCCATCGGCAAATCCAAAATGCTTCATTTAGAAGCAAATTCTCCATCCACATCAACTGTTGTACCATTGTCACACAGTAGGAGATTGAACTTCTCACAATTCAATAGTCCCTCAACACGAATTATCATATGTCGTAGTCCACTTGTCCCTGGGAATGCTAATTCTCCTGCCATATTTCCTCAATGATGAACTCTTCCTCAACTGCCATAAAGGACAAGCTTCCATCATCCTCACATCCTCTACATGCTTAGAGTCACCAGGAGGGTTTGATCCTCTCATCATTGAGTGAACCTCCTACTTAGAGCCCACCAACATCAACTTGTAACATGATGACAGTTGGAAGCCTAAAGAAAGCTGCAAGGAATAAATTAAGAAGTTAGAAGCATAGATTTGATGTCTCAGAACAATGGCTAAAGACATCTTGGAGGTTCTTTCACTCCAACCTTTAAATGATCTCTTTTGTTACATGGAATATTAGATGGTTAAATCAACCCTATAAGAAGGCAAAGATTAAGTGACTAATCTCTGACAAAATGCTTGATTTAGTCTCAATTGTTGAGACTAAGGTCTCTTCTTCAAATATAGGGTCAATTCATAGATTTTTGGCCCCAAACTGGTCACTAATCCCCAATTACAACTACTCACACCTTGGTAGAGTTTGGGTTATCTAAAACCCAAAGATTATTGACCTTACTATCATCGATTAGCAAATAGGCTATACATTATTCTATATCTATCATAGGACACAATGTATCTTTTTTCACCTTTTTTATACATGTGTCTAATCTTGTACATGGAAGACAGTACCTGTGGGATGACAATATAAGTCATTCAAGCACCTTCATGTAACATAGCTTATCATGGGTGATTTTAATGTTTTTTGCACTGCTACGGAAACCTTTAGAGGTACACAGAAATGGTGTCCATCTATGATTGATTTCAAAGATTGCCTTCAACAGGCAGAGCTAGAAGACCTAAAGTTCAGTGACATTCTCTATTCTTGGAGTAACAAAAGTTTGGGAAATGTTTACATCACCAGAAAATTTGATAGAGCTCTTGTCAACCATCAATGGAGTTCCAAATTTCCACTCTCAGAATGTGAAATTCTCACACTAGGAGTCTTTGATCGTAGTCCAATCCTAGTGACTATGGATTTTAATATCCCAATTAGATGCATTCCCTTCAGATTTTTCAATTCATGGACTACACCTTCTCAATTTTTACCCTCTGTTCATAAGATTTGGAACAATTTCATCAATGGCACAATAATATTCCAAGTTATACAAAAACTCAAAATGCTAAAGTCAATTCTTAGAGCAAATTACAAAAGAGAATTCTCATATGTTGACTCAAAACTACAAGCAGTGAAAGTAGAGTTGGATGTTTGTCAAGTTAACCTTGATCACTTACCTAGTGATATCAACTTAAGGCATCTGGAAAGAGTTCTAATTGCTGAGTACTTAAAACTGGCCAAGGTCGAAGAAGACATGTTGAGCCAGAAGTCAAGTGTAATATTTCTCATTTTTCATACTTTCCATTTTTTGGGGGATTTTTTAATTTTTTTCAGGATTATTTCTTTTTTGCCTCGTTTTATGTGCTGGATACCGTAGGGTGTGCCAGATGAGTCCTGAGAGTTGGTTGGCGCATTTCTTAGAGTCCAAGACTCTTAGGAATGCATTGTTGGCCATTTCGTCATTTTTCATTTTTTCAAACCGGGAAGTTGAGGGTGGGACCCGCAACCAGGTTTGTTATGCACAGGGATTATTTTTCGTGGCCGTTGCATTTCGTACATTATTATTTGATACACGTTTATGTGAATATGTGTTTGGGCATGTGGTTGTGGCGTGCGCGCGCACACACACACAGACAGAGATAGAGAGATAAAAGTGATGTTTTATTTCAGTGGGGCCCGCCATTATTTTGGTCATTATAATGACCAAATGGTCATTTGACCATTTCATTTCTTCCTTTCTTCCATGCCATTTCTTTCTTTCCTTCTGTATTTTTCTTTTTCTTTCACCATTTAAGCTTAGATCTGCGCTCCATCTTTGAGATTTTGACTTTGCCACTGAAAGCAAAGTTAACGAGTAAGACGAAAGCTTGGATTTGATTGGAGCAAAGCTTGATTTGGAGCACTTTGGTGATTTCAAAAATTGGGGGTTTTTCTTGGTTTTAATTACTCAAAAAAGGTTGGGGTTTCTAATACACTATTTCTTTGATTTTGGTGAATTATTTTCTTTTAAATTTTGTCAAAAACATGTTTAATTTGTAAGTTTTGTTTATGGTTATTTGAAATTATATGTATAATAAGCATGATGAGGTGCCCTACGTGTTGAATGTGCTAAATGACATGCTTAAATGATTTATTGTGAAGATATGCACATAAATGCTTGTATACCAAATGCTATTATTGAGGAATTTGTTGTTTGAGAACTTATTGATTTAATTTCCTAAAAGCATGCAATCATGATATAGTGAAATTGTGTAGAATTTTATGTTTGGCATGGCATTGAAAAGCATGAATCATTCATGCATGAGCATTGGGAAAGAAATAGGAAAAATTGTTTTAAAAAGAAAAATGAAAATTGTTTTGGGAGAAGAGATTTGAAAATGGTTTACAAAAACTCGAGTGCCTAGAAGCTGCCTAGTGGCGTTAATGTGACTTAGAGGGAACTAGAGAGGGACCTAGCATGGTTGAGTTAACTATGCCCTAAATGATACCCTGGAGCTGCCTTATGGTCAGGAATGTTAGCTAATCCTTCTCTCGTGGCGCTATAGAGTTGCTATAGGTCGGGTTGCATTAACGGTTTGGAATAAAAAAAAGGGAGAAGTTTTAGAAAATGGAGAGCGACATTGGCATATCATTGCATTCCATTGCCATAACTTTGTGTGTATATGGTCGGATGGCCTGTGTCATTGTTATGTTGTCTTCTAAAATTGCATGATCCTGTATTTCTTTACTCTATACTTTGTTTAGATTCACGGGGTCATTAAGAGGTGTGTCTTAGGCACCTCCTACTGAGCGGTTGTGCTCATCCCTTATGTTATCATTTTCAAGTCACAGGAAGGAAGTGGCGGATGACATTCCACCATAGGCTTTGTAATATCCCGATATTTTAAATGATTTATTAAATTGGGATTAATTACTTTTATTTTATTTTTAAATGATTTATTTGATTTAATTTGAATTAATTGCGTTTATTTTAAGTTTTAATTGATTTGTTTTATTGGGTGCTTAGATTAATTGTTTTATTTTATTTATATTTCGTGAATTATTGATATGATGATTGTTGTGTGTGTGTGCTTAATTATTGATTCAATTGTTGGCATGTTGATTTTATTGATATGGTATGACTTAGTTGTAAATTCTTATTTGTATATGTGTTTTATGTAATTAGTTATTTTAATTTAAGTGTTTATTTAATTATTTTATTTATTTAAATTAATTGCATTGGGCTTAGGGAAAGTTGGACTAAAGGATATGGTCTTGGGCTTAGATAAAGTTTTGTTGGGTTAATTAACAAAGGCTCATGATTGTGTGATTATTTAAATGATCGTTTTTAGATAATTATAAATATATATATATATATACGATTTAACTAACTAATGATTAATTATGGAAGGTATATATTTATATATAATATAATATATGTTTATATATATATATATATATATATATATATATATATATATTATTTAAAGATAATAATTATTATTTTTATTGGCTAATCTTATTAAGAATAGGATTAGGGTAATTAATGTGTATAAATATACACATAAGGTTTTATTATTGAAAATTTTTCACGTTAGAAAATAAGAAAGGTAGAGAGAGAAAAAGAATAGAGGGTTGACAAGGAGGAGGTCGAATCTGAAAAAGAGGACATCGGATTTGGAAGAGACGATCAATGCTTGAAGCGTCGGTTTTGATTCGAAACCTTCAGGCGAGTTTTCTCTATTTTTCCTCTTAAAACTCATAAGTATTTCACCTTGAATATCAAGGCTTTAGATTAAATTTATTAATTTGAATCATAGTTAGAATGGATTAATCAAATACATTAAGTTAATTTTATTTGATTAAATCAGAATTTAATCAGAATAGTTAATAGCATGAATTATTATTATTAAATATTTTTGTGGTTTTAAGGTTTGATTGTAATATATAGGTGTTGTGTATATTTTAAATCAATTTATAGGTTGATTTATGACCCAAGACGGATATTTTTGGTTTCCGGAATTTCTGGAATTTTTCTTAAATTTTCTGGAATTTTTTGATATTTTTCTGGTATTTTTGGGAATTTATTAGAATTTATTTTTATATATTTCTTGGAATATATATATATATATATATATTATTTATACATATATACACACTGGAGGCATCTGTAGGAGGGGCGCAACAATTGGTTGTAATCTAGTGTGGCATGGCGCATGAAATGATGGTGCACATGCTAATCTAGGCTATTGAAAAAGTTTGATATAAGTGGATTGATCTGGTGCATCGCGGCGTATTGAAGTATGGTGCGCATGTGAATCTGGACCATGGATTAGGCTTGGTCAATAGAAGATTGATCTTGTGTGGGTGTATACATGTGAGCTCAGGTGAAATAATTTAGTGTTGGTGCATATATATGAGCTCAAGTGAGCTAATCTGGTATGGGTGCATTTGTGTGAACTCAATGATATAATTCGGTGTGGGCGCGCTCACAGCAGCTTTTGAGCTCAGCCTATTATTTTGCCTGTTTGTGACATAAAATTGAAACGGTCATAACTCAATCATTTTAAATTGAAATTGGGTCGTTTTTGAGCTCAAATTTAAGGATTTTTCGTCCTCTTTCTAATGGCACCAATTTTATTCTCAGATTCCCATCATAGTAGGAGATATTTACGTTTTAGTAAGACGGTATCGTAAAATTATTTAAACCGAGATAGAGTATTTATGAACTTTCTGACATATTTAATAGTATTTAATTTGCTACTAAGATAATAAATTAATAAATGATTATGGAAGGATGATATATATATATATGTATATATATTATGGTTTATTTAATTTATGAGTTGTATGGATAAATGTGTGTTTGTATATATATATATATATATATAATTGTAGATATATATGTATATGTGATTTTAAATAATTAAGGATTATTAAGGAAGGATTATACACATATATATTATATAATTTATGTGTATATATATATATGTATGTTAATTAAGATTGTTAGTGTTATTATTCTTACTTGATATATCTGGATGAACTGGTTATTAAATTAATGATATACTTATGATCTGCATGAGATGTCTATGTATGAATTAGTTATCGTTTAGTTTAAAATTGATACATGGATGAATTGTAAGCATAGGTGAGTTGCCAAAGGCTTAAAAAAATATTGCCTTATTTGTATGAATAAAATATAGACATAGAAAATATGGATGAATGATTAATTTAAATGTATAAATAAATATACTTGTGAAGGCATGATTGATTTGCCAATGTATAAATAAATATACTTGTGGAAGTATGATTAAATTGCCAATGTATAAATAAAAATACTTAAGGAGGCACGGTTGAGTTGTTAATATATAAATAAATATATTTATAATGGCATGGTTGATTTGCCACAGCGTAATTAAATTGTTATGTGTTAGATGATTAAATTTCATCTATGGTTATTATATATATAGATTGGATTATGATTTATTATTCTTAAATTAGAATAGTCGAGTATTTACAAGTTAGTATATTATTTTATATATATTAATAAAGTAATATTGGAGAAGGCATGGAGAAATTGCCAAAGCATAAATCTTTACTTTTTGATTTAAATAAATAAAATCATGCATTAGTGATTATAGGGTTTTGGATTAAATGAATTATTCCTTAGATTATGGTTTATTATTTAAATGATTAAATAATTATTTAAAATGGAATTAAGGTTAAAATGTTTTTCTTTAAAAGAGAAGGAAATTGTGGATTGGTTTAGGTAGGATTATGTTTTAATTATGGTTTAATGCTTTGAAAATTAATGAACTTCTTATTGGATGTGAATGTTATATTGTATATAATTATTTATACATATGCATATTTTTATTAAACTTAAAACTTTATTAGATTTAGTTTTGATCAGAGATAATCTGCTTATTGATTTTTAGAGGCTTGGTAGAGAAAGTTTGCTCGTAGGGTTTAACCCGCGATTTGTTTTTTTAGGTTATTAGAAATTCAAGTCTCAAGGTTGAGGATCCGCAGCTGGAGGATTTATCCATTCTTTCGGTTTATTTAAAAGTAGGATATTATTATTATTCCATTTGATGTTAGTATTTAATAATGAATTTCTGGATAGTGGATTTTGGTTATCGAGTTCTTGAGTTACAGGATTTCCGAGTTGTAAATTTTAGAGAATTGTTAATGGAATTTTTTTTATTTAATAGATTTCTTTCAGTGAGTATTTATTCTTTTTATTTCTTTTTGTAATCTGTACTTGTTTGAAATATTTTAATTGTTTTGATATCCTCTAATTTTGTGCACAGACTTGATCGACTCGTGTTTCGAAATTAAAGGGTGTCACAGTTGGTATCAAAGCACTCCAGATTCAAGTGTCCCTAGGGTATCTTTCGTTGTGTGACTTTCGCATTGTGTACTCTTTTACTTAGAGCTTAAGTTTAGGATTCACTGTATTTTATATTCGGTCTGTTAGTGCATTATAATGACAAATTGTTGAGTTTTATCAGAAAATGGTAAGACATTGATTTGGAAGGTATTTGAGAAAGAAGGAGCATAGGTGCTGGAATCGTATGCTAAATTAGTACGTAGGGAGATAATATTTATTGTGAAAACTGATTGAATGACATAAACTACGAAGGTCGATAGTTTACGTTCACACAGTAAGCATAGATGTGAGATAGAATAGATAACTGAATTGGGGAAAGTTATTACCTCTACACTCAGTATTGTTTAGGGAGGATGAATGTAGTTGTTTTTAAGTTCTGTTTTGAGGATTGAGGTGTTCCAAGGTTATTTAAATCATATTTGGTGATTTAAATGGTTGAAATAGACTGGTTAACATCTCAAAATGCATAATATACATTAATATGTAAAGACTTGAACAATATGGAATTTTAATTAACTTACATGTTGTGAATGAATGATTTAGTTGCTTAATATTATTCTAGCAATTTCAATGCATATTTATATGATTTCAATCATGTATTAGCATATAATATAATCATATATTTATCGAATTTTTATTATGCTTACTTCTAAATTATTTGATGTATAATTATATATGTTGCATCAATTATGGATTTTATAGATTTATGCACCATTAAAATAATATGGGGGTATTTTAGGGACGGATTAAAGGAAAAGTTAAGTCCTACCTATTTGTGTATTTTAGGGACGGATTAACGGAATAGTTAAGTCCTACCTATTTATATTTAGAAGGGAACGGATTAACCATAGAGTTAAGTCATACTTATTCGTGTCAAGTCAACGGAATAGTTGGATGGCATGCCATTAAAATAATATGGTTGGATAGTTTACTTTTATATTTGGATAGAATGGATTTTATAATATGTATAGATATGTGCCACGATATGAGCTTGAGTCTCAAAATCAATGGTTAGGATGAAGACGTATATTGCCGATTGATTGAGATGAGTAGTTGGATTTAATGATGTGTGGGCCTTGGTAGAAAGAGGACTCGTGACCACCTTTGTGTGCGTTTTACATGAGATACCCACTATCCGGTTGAGACTGTCTTAGTCCAGTGAGATCTCTAGTGTGTACTTATATTTATCAATTATATAAATATAGAATTAGCTAATTAGAGATATACAAATATTGAGGTATGTAGACTACAAGGTAAGGCGTATCAGAATATAAAATGTTAAGATGGAAGACAGGAATGATAGTGACAATAGCCATCATTACTTGCAAAATATCTGGTATGTTCGTTATTAGGTGTGATCAATAGAGATCATTAGTATTGTATAGTCACTTCCCATATTAAAATGGCTAAGGGGAGATATTTTTGCGAATAATATTATGGGAATACCCATGTTGTGAGGGAAGTTTATTTCCATTGGGGTCATCACTAGTTAGATGACAAGGTGGTTTATTCGTTATAGCAAGTATATGCAGTAAAAATGAGTCTTAAATAATATGGACAATTGGTTTTTTACTCAAATTGTCTCCCATAGGGGAAGTAATGTTGATTAGAAAAGAAAGGAAGTTATCACATCACTATGTCATGATTTATGTTTTATTTATTAAGCAATAGCCTATTGTTGGCAAGGATATAAATATGTTTTTTTTTCCACCATGTGTGTAAAGGAGTTTTTTATGTGTTTTACTACAAGAAATTACAGCAATGGAATATTTTCCCGATGCATATAAGTTGGCGAGGTTAGGTTGTAAATAAATACAACAAGCGTAGATTAGCTCAATATATTCTTAATAAATTACGAGATGTGCCTACTAATTATGAGTATGTGTGGATAGGTTAATTTTGACACGGATAAAGGGAATTTGGAAATTTGAAATTAAATACTTAAAGTTTTTCATTTAATGGATTCGTGAATACCGAGGACAAAATTTCTTTTCTTTGAAGGGAAGAATGTAATACCTTGATATTTTA